ATCATCAATAAGTGAGTATAAGGCCAAGAGAGGGGTAGAGTTGGGGGGGGGGGGATTTAATGGCAACAGATGCCGCTGTGCAGCATGGTTCATCGTCAAAATTCGAACCAACAGACAAGCAAAGGTTTCCCTCTATTCGGAATCACTTAAAAGCGAATGGACTTGCCTGGGGGACTCAAAGTTCTACGGACTACTCCAAGTCGGTCCTTTGAAACCCCTCAGTTACATGCTTTCGTCTGCACTCCTTCGTTCAAATAGCGGCTGATGACTACTGTGACCTCACACACTCTAACTTTAGGCCACTAATAAATAATTGGCACCCTCACCCACCCCGGAGTCTCCCTCCCCCGCAAAGCTTACAGGAAGGTCTTTCAGGGCGTGCCAAGCTTTTTGAAAACGGTCTTTTGCATGATATAGGGGCACATGCGGGAACCACAGAACCATGGTTAATTTTTCCTGAACGGCCCTCTGAATACCAGAAAAGGGGGTCCCTAGTTCGATTCCTCGTGGTGACAAATTTTTGCATTTCGAGTTTGACGTTCCAAAATTCGCGCAAAATGGAGTTCTGATTGTTCTGTTGGTTCTAACTCCATTTTGCGCGAATTTTGGCACGTCAACTCGAAAATGCAAAAATTTGTTACCACGAGGAATCGAACTAGGGACCCCTTTTCTGGTATTCAGAGGGCCGTTCAGGAAAAATTAACCATGGTTCTGTGGTTCCCGCATGTGCCCCTATATCATGCAAAAGACCGTTTTCAAAAAGCTTGGCACGCCCTGAAAGACCTTCCTGGTTAGGTTTAGGGCTCCCACCTTCCTCATTGGGACTTGGAGCCGAGCCAGGCGCCATTCTCAAATCTTCTGTGCTCTGGCCATTCGCGGCAGGACCACCAGGAAAAATCAAGTAGTCCGTAAATTTGAAAACTGACTTACAACCCCCCCCCCCTCCCGAAATGTTGCACAAATCATACGATCAAAACAAACAAATGAGCCTTCCTAATCCTTTACAATTCAGAATGGAAGCCGAAAGCATGGCACTTACAAGAAGTACTTCATTTTCATGGGTGGGTGAACGAAGAAAATGAGCCGAGGCCAAAACTAATGGAAGCTACTTGCTTACCTATAAGTGTTACTGGTATTCCATATTCCTGCGC